GTTGCACAGGTTGTTCTAAGTCTATTGAATGTGTTCTTGGTGTCAGGTTATTTTTGGCACTTGGGTTAGGTTTTTGATACCTTGGTTGTTGTTAATTGTGAAATAGTTTCAATATGTATGGGTATCCTACTTTTTAATAAAAAATAATTAAGGAATAAAACTAGTGCTGCTAGCTAAATTATAAAAGAGCTTTATGTGGACACTTATCAATTTCGATAGAACGTCAAACGAAGAAATATAACACAATGGAATTCCAACCCCAAAGACACCTATTGGCTATCTAGTTCTATGCAATGCACTGCAACGCCAGGTGATTGTATTGTGATGCATGGCATAAAGAGAAGCTGGTCATAACGCATCTCCTTCACTACAACTGATTCCTCTGGTTGTGTCATTTTGATATTTTTCAACCTATTTTCAAATATTTTAAGTACCATATGGTATCTCATGCTTCTGTTCATGTTTATACTTTGATATAAACTAGTTTTACTTGGTTTTAAGGCGTTTAACTTTCAAAACTTGGGATCCCTTTTGCTTTATTTTAAAATATGCAATGTTTATTTGACTTTTCAAAGAGCTTTTCAATTTGCATGGCCATAATGGTGCTTAATTTCTACTATGGTAAACTCTTTTAATTGTAGTTAAGTTTTTTAAAATTGAAACATAATAATTTTTTGGATTAGTCTCATAATTATTGTGATGGTTTTGGTTTAGTGCGAAAGTAATAAGGGTGATATTATAGAAGGAAAATAAGGTTTCCAGACTAAATAACCTTAGTATGAAATTGAGATTGAAAAAGTGAAAGTGAAACTAAAAAAGTAGATGATTGATACAATGAATCTCACTTCTTTAAAAAAATCTGTTTTTATCCAAATTGGTGAACTCATTTCCATTTTCATACCCATGGAACTCACTTTCTCATTCACTTATCTGATAAACAATGACATATTTTCATGTGTAAACTAAACATATTTTAAAATCTCATTTTCAGCTCACGTTCCCTTCCATGCGGCTAAACCAGACAGGGATGGGCTGGTCACGTCCCACCTCTCGTCTCAAATCCAAAAATAAAGGATGGGGTGAATGAGTGAAATTGAAAGAAAGCGTGGGGACATAAATGAAAGCCCTTGAAAACAAATATGAGAAAGTTAAAGGGGTTGCCTTGGGAAAGGAGAAGTGGGTGGCGAGGGAGTGAGCAAGAGTATGGACAAATGCAAGTGGAGATCTCAGCACGTGACCCTCAGCCTCTCTGACATGCATTGGCCATTGAGCAATAGTCCCCTGCCCCGCCACCTCCCTTTCAGCCTTACACTTTCCCTCTTGCTTCCCCGCTTTATATTATAACATATTCCTCTGATCTTTTTTTAATTCACTTTTTATTACCCTTATCAATATTAATAAAAAAATAAAATAAATAAAAGTGTATTAAATTTTAAATATATCTTTATATAAAAAATTTAAATATAATGTGAGTTTTTTTTATAAAAATAATTTTAAAATATTTTTTAAATATTATATAAAAAGCCGTGCTATAACTTATAAATAAATTAAATATACTTTTTAAAATATACCTTATAAATAAGATTGGAGAGAGTATTCTTTATATTTTTTTACCATCCCATATTCCATTCATTTTGAGTTCAAAACTTTAGAATTTTCACTGGAAATTGAAAATGCTCAACACTCATCTAAATTTCTTTAAGCCTGAGTTTAAATAATTTTCATTGAGCTCTTTGTATGTTATCCTTCCCATTTACTACATCTATATATACATCTACAACCCATGAATATAATAGATTTATAGGAAGCTGAATTGCTTTCTTGACTGTTGGAATCGTATCACATCGGGTTCATCGCAAATATCTACGGTTATGGTTAAATCTATAAAAATGAAAATTAACAGCTATTAAAAACAGACATTCACAATATCAAAAAATTATCAAAAATAAATAATAATCACAAAGACATATGAGTAATAAATACTCTATCTAGTCCTATTTTTAGGGTAGAAAGATAAATTTTTAATCTTATTTTTAAGTTATTTTATTAAATTTTCATCATAAATTTTTTCATTTGTTCTTCATTGAATGCTGAAAAGAGAAAATATGTTATTAATATATATATATATATATAATAAAAATAAATTTAAAAAATTATTAAATTTTTAAATAGAACTAATAGATTTTAATTTTTTATTATGATAAAATATGTTAAAAAAATTTATAATAGTACCAGAATCAAAAGAGAATATGAGCATATGTTTTACGCGGCATCTTGTGAAACTAAAATCACTTTTTCAATCAAATAATATTTATTACAAAGGGAATATAAAGTTCATGATATGTTTTTTTCCCCTTCGGACAAATACTCATGATTATGTGTGAGCTTAGAAAGGTGAAAGGTCAATAGTTGGGCTTTAAAATAAAGAAACAAGTCTGAATCTTAGGAAATGCAAATAAAATAATAACAATAAAGAAATGGACAAGTGACTCAAATGAACAGGTAAAAGGTAGACGAAGGGATGAAGATCTAATGGCGTACGGGAAAAAGCAGTTGCACAGTATAGCAAATGGCAAATGTGCACTTTGAAAAGTAAATGAAAAAGAAATGTATATAATAATAAAAGAATGAAAAAAAATCCGACAATATGCATATCACTATTATGATGATGATGGTTATTATTATTTAGTGCTCGAAGGCTTGTACGACGTTTTGATTTTTTACAAAATAATATATTTTTCTTCCGTGACTATTATGTGTTGGGAAATTGTATTTTGATTGTGCTATTGATTAAAATATTTTTTTCAAATTTTATTTATAAATTATTTTTAATATATTTTATTGAAATAAAAAAATTTAAAATTTATTAATTTTATTTAAAAATTTAATAATTTTTTAACATTACTCTTATTAAATATATTTTAACAATATATTTTCTATTTACAACATTCAATGAAGGGTGAATGAAAAAATTTATAATAAAAATTTAATAAGATAAGTTATAAATAAAAAAAATATCTCTCTACCTTTTAAATAAGACCAGAGAGAGTAATAGAAAGTTATTATTTTCTTTTTATAAATTTTATTTATAAATCAAGTGTAGGTACTAAGAATTAGCAACTATTATATGTTAACAAATAACTATTTTAATTGAGTTATTGATTAAAATAGAATAAAAAAGGATTATTTACTTTACTTCCCTTGTTTTTCAAACATGTGATTCATGAATAAATTAGGAAATAACTTCTTTCTTTTTGAAATTTATAAAGAAAATAATCATTTTATATTTTATTTTAATCAATAATATAATAAAAGCACTCATTTTCCATTGAATAATAATCGTATTATCTTTTAGAACAAATCATAATTATCAAATTTTGCTTTGCTAAATTGACATATGAATATTTTAAGGATATTTTTTGTATTTTTCATAATAAATTAATAATAGGGAGAATTTCAATAAAACTCCTTGGACCATAGTTATTTAAATTTAAAGTTCTTAAATTTTTAAAATTTTACTACATTCTAGGAGTATTAATTTGATATTAAATTAAAAAAATGATAAAATTGCCTCTCATTTAAGTTAATATTAAAAGTTTCTTATTTATTTATTAATTTACTTACAGAATATTGTTTATTACCTACTTAATTTATTTTTATTTTAAGTATTTAAATCATCTTAAGATAACTTATTGGTTCTACATTTTATGTTATTCATTTATTTATGAATTATTATTCATTGTCTTTTTTTTTTTTCATTGCCAGATTTTTACTTGATTTTATTTTAGAAAAATGAACAAGTGAAGTAAGTTAATTAATAATATTTTGTAAGTAAAGAAATAAGTGAAGTAGATGAGTTTTAATATTAATTTAAATAAAAAAATTATTACTTTTTATAAATTTAGTATCAAATTAATGCTTTTAAATTTAGTAAAATTTTAAAAATTTAAAGATTTTAAATTTAAATAAGCAAGATCCAAATGTGTTTATCAAAGTTCTCTCCCTTAATAATAATGAAAAACAAAGATACCCAATTCCCAGGGGAAGTATGGCACCACGTGGGTGTTGCAAGTTTCGCCTTTTTTGAGGGCCTGACTCGGAGGCAGGCGCACTCAAGCCCCCGACACTTCCAAAGCAGAAACACCAATCACGAGACACACCGCCCCCCGAACAAGCTATCAACGGAATCTCTGTTCCTCGACTGCTGTTGCCGGCAATGGCCGACTCCGACTCCGACGACCGCCTGCCTCCGGGATGGACTGTGGAAGTGAAAGTGAGGAAGAATGGTAAGAGAGACAAGGTAATTGAAGTTCTCCTGCTTGCTTTTCTTCTGACGGCTTGTCTTAAGAAATGTGAGATCTCTTACCTTGGGTTGATATAAGCTTCTTCTGTTTCACCCCGGGGGTGAGATTTCAGGTTTGGTTGCCTCAAAGTGGACAACATTTGAGGAATTGAGATGTTTTTTTTTTTTTTCTTTCTCGTATTTGTTGAAGGGAATGTTATGGATGCGAGCTAGGTTTCGCTAGTTTTCAGAAATTTTCGAGACAGAGTCTTGGCTTTTGAGATAAGTTGCTGCAGTTCGTGTGGTAATAGGGAAACAAAATTTCTATGTTGTTTACATTTTGGTTGAATCTGCTATTTGCATGTTCTCTCATGACATTTTGTACCTTGTTTCTTATAACTATATCGTCCCAATTGAAGTTTCTAAATCAATATGGACTGTGGCTGTTCTTTCTCTGTGATTACAGAGTCAGGGGAAAGCACTAAAGGAAAAGTGTTATAGGTCCTCTCTTCCCTGACTATTTGGGTTAAGAACCTATAAAAGGGTTTTGGATGTTTATGGACCTGTTTTGAGGGTATATCCTATTTTCACACCAGTCAAACTAGCTCATAGAAGAATGAAGCTAGACCATCGAGGTGCTTCTTCTGGAAGCAGTATTCCTAAAAATACATGCAAGTTTTTGTGCGTCTGTATAATATTTGAATCTAGAGAATTTTACCGCTCGAAGCAGTTTTTCAAATTTGATTTTCCTATGTACGAAGCTTGAAATTTTCATTAAAACTATTTATTCTGATTCCTGGTCGCTTATTTTACAGAGGGAACTGCAGCGTAAGTGAGAGTGTCATCTATTTTGTTGGTCGATGAGAGAATCATCTTTACCTTGATGCCAGTTTCATGATGTTATATTCCATCCATCCAAACTAGCTGTGGGAGAAATCTAATTAGCACTCTCAATGTGCTTTATTTCTTATATCTACTAGCGTGGAATGGTTATTAATTTTTCAGTTATCTACTTACGTGAAACCTACGCTGGTGCTAAGTTCAATTATCTATTTGTGGAATGGTTATTAATCTTTCAATCTGCAATTTCCTTTTTCAAAAATCCATATCATATTTGCTCCGATTTTAAAATATTTCCCAGTCAGTGATGGCAAAACAAGTATAAAGTAAACAAGCTTTTATCTCTTTTGTCTCTAGTCGTTGCTTTGCTGTATTTTAATAATTAACTGAGCCAGAAGGACATTTACGCGCTGAAACTCCAAAGGACTATTTTCAAAGATGTCAACCTAAATCTTATGAAATTCATACTTATTGCAGTTTTACTTTTCTCCTTCAAGTGGACTTAAATTCAAGTCCATGGTAGAGGTTTCTCGTTATCTTGACAAAGCTCAGAACAATCAAGTCAGCGTCACAAACATTTCGAAAAATGTGTGTCTACAAATCCTCTTTTGATGATCATATATTGTCTGGGTCATAAATCTATCTGGTCCTATCAACTAATGTGAGAAAACTTTGCTTCTTTAAGCAATCTAGGTTGTAATTGAGAAAGGTGTTGCAGAGGGGTTACCAGAAGGATGGATCAAAAAGACCAGAGTCACAAAAAAGAGTTCTACAATAAGAAGAGATTCGGTAAACATTACCATATCACCTTCTATTGAATAATAATGCTTCCCAATTAGTTTTAATGTAAGCATTTTCAATATTTTGTATTTTAGCCTCTGAAATTTTACCAATTGTGCTTCATATTGCTATGTCTTCTGAGATCTTGAAAGTTGAAGTTATGTCTAATAGTTTGAGCTGTTAATTTGTCTTTATGATTAATGCACTTCAAATTGTATGCTTAATCTGCAGTATTACATTGATCCTGTTAGTGGGTATGTATTCCGATCTATAAAAGATGCTGTTCGCTATCTTGAATCTGGGGAGATAGGAAGGAATGCATTCAAACCAAAAGATAAAGGAAGTGGAGATATAGTATTGAAAGATGACATTTTCTCTGTAAGGGCTGTTGTTATTTGAGTTCTTCCAGTTTATATGCTTGGTTAATATCGTAAGATAAGCTCTTGACTTGCATCCATCCACCATTGGGCTTTCCTGGTGTGTCAAAATGCTGTCAACTAGCCATGTAAAAATTGGAAAAGGGAATTTCTAATAGCCCAGCACTGCAAACAAGATGTTAAATGGACAATATCTGGAACTGTTGTGTGATTAGCTTTGTTTTCTTTTCATTTGGGCTTTTCTTCTGTTTCCCTTTCCATGGATGAGATTATAACCAAGTATTGACAGGAACAAGTTTAATAAAGTGCATTGCCACGTCCTGACAGCATGAAAGAACCCCACAAACATTAACGGGCATCTAACAACATCAAACGATCTGACATTTGCTGTTTGAGGGTCTGCTTCTTGAATTAACTCTTTTTCTAATGTCTATGGACAATTCTGATAATAGTCTATGTTGCTTCGTCTGCAACATAATTTGATATTGGTTGAACTGGTTGACTATGGGCTGTGAGATTCAATTAGGCTGGGTGTGATAGTACAGGCTCTTCCTTGTTCTGCTACTTATTGACAAGTAGGACATGATACAATTTCCTTCCTTGTTCTGCTACTTATTGACAAGTAGGACATGATACAATTTATGCCCCTTTATTATCTTAACAGTAATTTTGTTAACAAAGCCATGATAATAATTAAATACAATGTTTATCGGTGTACCTGGTGAAACTATCTTTGATTGTGGCCTTATAAAACAGAATACTAAAGCAGTCATCTCATTACTAGAATTAATGCCTTAAATTGGATTCATAAGTTCTGTTGATGAACATATTTTCAGCCTTGCAGCGTGGTTGAAACCCTTTGTTTGCGCAACATGATTTCCCCACCAAGATTTTTAGTTTGACAATCCTTGCAGAGTGATTGAAATCCTTTGTTTGCTTGACATAATTCCCTCGCCAAGATTTCTAGTTTGACAATCCTGTTCACATTTCCTTTTCAGTCAGCAGGCGTAGCCAAGAAGCCAAAATAACAGTTGGCAGAGTGACTCGACACTCTGTCTTGGGTGAGGGTGCAAATTTGGACGGGATAGTTAATGACCATCAGACTCAAAAAACTGCATCTACAGGAAAATCTATGCCTCTTTCCGAACACAATTCTTGTCATTGTAAAGTTCTGATTTTTATCTTTCCTTCCTTTTTTCCTTTTCTGAAGTAAACTATACTGATTTCATGTGATTATATGAAGCTTGGATGCAATTATCTTGCCTTTCATCGATTTAGTAAAGTTTTTATTCTAAGTAGAGTTTGGTGAAGATTTCACACGAAGTTTGATCTTTATGTTCTAGTAGAAAGTTTGATTTCACATTAGCACCTTTTAGATATATTTGATTAAATTCTTTCTTGCTATATATTTGATATTTTCTCAAAATAAGATGCATGTTTTTTCTAAGTAGAGTGTGATTCTGGTTGAAAATAATTCCGTCTTACTGTTATCTTAAAAAGATATGGAATTGAGTAGGTTTTATATTTTTCATAGCCTTTGGTCCAAGTAGTAATTTGGTGAAGATTGTATTCAAGAATCAAATTAAAATTAATGTGAATATCTTTGTTTGCTCACTGTATGATGATGTTTAGAGGATTGGTTTTCCATGATTTTCACCTCTCATTCACACTTGCTCACTTTATATGTAAACACCCGTGTACCATTCTGATTATTAATGAATTTTGGTTTTTCTCAAGTCAGCAAAGGCATTTAATGTGTTTTGGTTACATGTGATTATATAGGTGCGATGGGCATTGAATTGACCAGCTCAGTTCCATTGCAAGCTGAATGTTCAGATGAAAAAGAAGGGAAGGTTAGTTCAGCTGAAAGTAATTTAATTCCCAGTTGTGCAGATGGAGTTGTCCCAGAAAAGCTACTTCCAGAAAGTTTACAGGCAAAACACGCAACTGAAACAGTTCAAAAAGGCCAGGGCAAATCCAAGCGCAAGAAGGAGATTAACTTGCCTCGCCGTGCCTCAAAACGTCTTGCTGGAATTCAGGTTGATCCTGTTCCAGAACTTATAACAAGGCGCCGAAGTGCAGCTAAAAATTCTAGTGAAGTAGCCTTGACAAATGAGGATAAATCTTCAGGGAGTTTTCCTAATGAGGAAACAAAACAGCTTACTGCGCATGAGAGTGGATCAGAAATCAAGCATAAACCTCGAAGTTTGATGAACACAAAGGAGCCACCAAAGTTGAATCAGGGCAATCGTTCTTATGGGAATTTATGTGCTCGAGAAAAGCTTCCTGAGAAGACTCTAGAAGAGCCAAAAAGTGAAAAAGATCAAGAATGCTGTTCTTTTTTGCCTCTGGGAAACACAGCTATTGTCAAAGAGCAAGTGAAAGACCTGGAGGGTGGTGCAAAGTTTGACTACTCTCTTGACTTGCCCCTTGGAGAGCTATTATCAGACCCATGCATTGCATTTGCAATACAAACTCTTACTGAAGGAACATTTGAAACCTCCAAAGACAGTCAGATTTCATCTGAATTAAGGAATAGCAAGTATTCTGAAACTTCAGCTGCTGCTAAAGGGGATGACAGGAAAATCATAGGGCAGAATGTGAGTGACTGGAAGCAAGCATGCAATGTGTCTTCACCACCAAAAGACCTTGCGGCAGAACATACTGGCAGTACTTCTGAATCACCGTTTGGTATTTCATGGATGGATCCTTGCATAGAATTTGCAGTAAAAACTCTCACTGGCAATATCCCAGTGGGATATGACCCAAATAGTGAGAGTTGCCTTCAGCAGCAGTTCGGAACTTCAAATAACCAGGAACTCAATGAGATAGCCTTGTCAGGTGGTGGCCTAAATAATCTATGCCAGACCGACTATTATTGCAGCCAATATCTTGGACCACAGAATCCTTTATTTAAACAACAGTCATTTCTGGATCCAGCTTTACCCAACACTAGAGGCGTTGGCATGGGGGATTCTGCTGGAGCCAGACTGCGCCAATATGGCGGCCAAGACAGAAGGAATGGGTGCCAGAGATAAACAATCAGCTAGTAACTGTACTAACTTAAGACTGTACAGTTAGGAAATATTTTGTAAAAAGATAACCAACTAAACCTTTAACATCCTTTTGGTTGTTTTCTGAGCGTGGAAACCCTGGTTCTGGTGTTGTGTACATTATAGGAGTTGTTCTGAACTAGTTTCTTGTTAGCTTGACAGTAAAGTAGGTGTTTAACCTTTTCATTCACTTTTACCATTATTATTTGCATTCTGGCATGGTCCTCCCCTTCAATTCTTCTGCACTATTTTTGTATATACTCTGCGGTTAAAATATCAAATGTTTTAGTTTGTTCTGAGGATTACTGCATGGTTAAGGATGAAATTGACACAGCTGCACTAGATGCATAATACTAATGGTTCTGTACCTGTCGTTTTTGTATGCCGTGGTGAGTGGTTTTTCACAATAATATTTCAGGCGAGAATACTATCTGGTATTTCATGCATGTTCAGACAAAAATTTATGAGATAAAAAGTGATCTAAGACATGAGTTCAGAAATGAACTTTTGATGACAGTGAAGAAAATATATTTTTCCCTTGATTAAAAACAAAATTCAAATATTTAAAATTGGATAAATAATACAAACTATCAACCAAGCCGAACCTAGAATATGCAACAAATACAAAAGCCTAATAATAAAAAATAGATATAATAATATCAGAAATATAGGCTATGAAAGAACCAACAGTGAAGATACTTTCCAACTCAGCATCTCACCATTTCAAACCAGAAGTTTTTCGTGGTTCGCAACGTTGCGTGTCTTTTTATCAAGAAGACAATGAAGAAACCTTAATCTTTGCGATGAACACTTGCAGGCGTCATGTTCCTTTTACCTCTGCTGCTTCCTTCGCTGTCGCTCCAACCCACCCCTTTCATCACCCCATGGTAGCTCACCGAATGCCCGATGGCCGCGTGATTCATCAGAATATACCTCCGCACCTCCTCTGGCAACCTTAGCGTATACCTCTCCGTGTCGTTGTTCGTCCTAGGCTGTTCCACCAGCGAATGCCCCGTTGAGTTGGATCTCGGAAACTTCTCGAACATTCTCCATCTCGATCTTTGATCTCGACTTTGCTTAGCTCTGGCTTCGTCCATGGTGGCTCTACCTGTTCCTGAAGAGTTGCTGCTGCTCGGACCGACGTCGTTTGGTACCCGCGCCACTTGGTGATACTGTGTTTCGCTCGCTTCACCTCTCCTGCTTCTGCCTGAATTTTCATATCCATCAACACGAATCAAATTACTTCTCATTTCTTTGAATTGAATGAAATTATGAACGATTTATGAGATATCTTCTCAGCGCTTTTTTTGCAACCCAAAAAGTCTCTGTAGATTCAAAAATTCAATCTTTTAAATTCGCTAAATTCATTGTCCCATAAGATTTGATTCGATTATGTCTACACCAAGCACAATTTATGGCATATAAACGATATGATTTGATATAAATTTTATACTTTATCTATCTACTATATGTCGATGATGATTGACGATTAGTTTTTATTTTAATATTTAAAAGATATTAGTTAAAAAGTATTAAAAAAATCAAGATATCACTTTTAATCATAAAAAAGTTAAATATTTATATGATATGGATACCAATGCCAATATCAATTGATTTTAAATATTAAATTGAAATAAATTTAAGAAATCAAATTCAATGAAATAAACCAATTAACAGGTCAAAATGATTGGTAAGCCTTCCAAAAAAAAAAAGTCTATTGATTTCGATTAATAAACCCTAAATTATAAATCTAAGCATTGAACTGTTCTTTAAAAAAAAAAAATCAACTCGACATATGGAACCTTGAGGCTTAAGCTATAGCTGCCACCTGTACATATGCATTGTTATTAGAAGTGTTGAGCTTGAGAAGATTTACTCGCTTAAAATTTCACACGTCGAATTGTTCATCAAAAAATTGTATCGCGAGTTGTTACCTCCACTCTCTACGCTCAATTCATTAGCGTTCAACTGAGTCGGCATTCTGACTGCTACTTCGCCGGAATCTGGTTTCAGATTTGCGCGGCAAATGGGACAAGTCACATGAGAAGCTAACCAGGCATCGATACACTCGGGGTGAAACACATGGTTGCATTTTGGTATCAACCGGAGAGTCTCGTGGTCTTCGAACTCGCTCAAGCACACTGCGCATTCGAGCTCTCCTTTTCCGATCTTGTGGTTTTTGATGGTGGAATACACGAGGATCGGGAATGTGTCCAGGACTTCCCGGTCGATTCCTCGGGAGCAAGAACACCGCCAATTTACGCCGTCAAGGCCACCGCCCAACTGGTGCTGGCCGGCGAACGCTAACGCGGTCCAGTAATTGAGGTAGACCGAAAAGACGGTGATGAAGAGGACAGCGCACACGATGGCTGTGGCCTTGACAAAAATCACAAAGTCGATGCCATCGGGAGTCACCGGCGAAAGCGGCAGCGGCGATGGTGCAGTAGCTGACTGTGGAACGGCGCCGCCGGAGACGTTCATCGTTGCTAGGAGGAGCAAGAGTAAGCTGTGAGACCATGTAAGTACGCTGTAGTGAGATCGTCTGGTTTCGATCATTTGGATTCAGAAGTTCTGAAAATGATCAGCCTCGTTTGAACTGATTTTAATTGTTAAGCAAAAAGAGAAACGGAAGAATTTCTTGGAGAAGACGGCTCTGAATTTATGATTACTGATTCGGTGAATTGGGGACCAAGCTGTTTCATTTTTCATTTACTTTGATTAAATGGATTTGATTGAGATTCTTAAAATAACAAATTCTAAAATCATAATTATTTATTTTATAAATAGTAATGTTTTAATTTGGTGAAAAAGCTATCATAAGTACTCGCACCTCAATGGCCTTTTCAACAAATTTTTTTTTTATTATTATTGAGAAACTAGGGAACAAGGGAAAGTACTGATAATGCATGCGTGGTAATTGACAACTAGCAGCAACTAGTAAGTAATATCAGCATATGAAGTTGGATACGTGAAAATACAAAGTATTAAAATTTGGTGAAAAGCTTGTCACTTCAAAGCATTTATCAATACTCAATTTGAATTTAAATTAGTTTAAATTCTATTAAATTCTCTCTACTTGACGTGAGACGATCTGAATATCTGAATATCGTCTACCCCAAGTAATACAAAAATATCAACATATACTATTGGATTTATAGCAAAATTGTAGGGTTATAACTTTGCAATCCGCCCAACCCAACGTAACGAAATTGTATTGTTATAGAATAGCAGCTCATTTTTTAAGATTTTAATGTGGGAGAGTGCTTATCTAAATATAAAATATTAGATGTCCATCGATTCATACATTACAAGGTTTATTTACTTCGAAATAAATTTCAATGGATTCGTGTACCTGCTTTTTACTTTGATTCATGATAAAGACCAAGAAGAGTAAGTATTCAATTTAATGAATTTGTTTACAAAAATAAAAAAACAAGGGTGTATTTGGTATAGGAAATAAATACTTTTATTATATAAGAATATAATATATAATATTTATTATATGATTACTGTTAATGTTCAATGTTTATCTCCATGAGTTGTTTCTAAATTTAAAAGAAGATTTTAAATTATTGATTTGAAATGCGAGATTTATTTTAATTCAAGTCGAAAAAGTTTCTTATAGAAAGAAAAAACCTAAAAACTACTTTAAAAACATGTGTCTGCAAGATCTATGATTCCTTTGACATTGATAAAACAAAATAAGATTATATATCTGATTTATTTTTTTCTTTACATTTATTTTTCTCTCTAACGCGTCCCTTATTATGTGTAGGACGAGAGACATGATATTTGATTTAAGGTGATGTAAGTTCGTCTCACCTGTTTATTTATAATTTATATGGATGCTCTATACTAAGAAACACTTGTTTATTAGTCATGTTAAAAAATTTATAATGCGCAATTACAAGGCTATACTGAACTACTTCATAGAAGTAAATTCATAAGAACTTTGATATTAGAATTCATAAGAACCTAACCATATATATTAGTTCCTGTAAGTTGAGAATGGACAATTGAGGTGGACTGTGCAAGGCCTAATGAAAGCGTTTAATGTGTGGGATGAGTCAGCAGAAAGCTTTAACTTGAATTCCAAGCTTGCCACAACACTCTTTGCATTCGTCACTGAGGATGAGGATGAGGATCTCTCATGCTCCCGAAGTTGTATTTTCGTTCTCTCTTAAATTACCTTGCATCTTCCAAACTCTTCTTTCATCCTTCTACTCGGTTTTGCTTTTTCTTTCATCCTTCTACTTGGTTTTGCGTTTTTTTTTTTTTAATGGAAGTTGAAAACTACATTAGTCAAATATACTGAGGTTACATGCGTTTACTATAAAGAGAAGTGGGAGTTGATGAAAGATACAAAAAATATAAGACAAGATCATGAAACGTCCTAACTAAAAGATGAGTCCATTGATTAACTTCAATGTACAAAAAGTAACATAAACTTGCCAATATCTTCTAACGAAAAGTCTGGCACCTTCTACAAAATCATTAGAAGGGTGGTTTTTCTGAATTTCTCCATTTACTATTTCCATAGCTTCAGCACAATCTATGAAAATATCAATCTTTTTCAATCCCATTTGCTTTTCAAAGTTAGGGATCAAGACGAAGTTAATTTAATTAATAATTTATTAGTTTTTTTCCCCTAAACTACATGGAGTTAGTTAAAATTATATTGATAATACTTCAATATTGTACATGATTAAAAAAAACATTTAAAAAAAAAACAGCACACATTTTTTCACAGATAACCTGCTTTTCCAATTTGTTTAACCTCTGTAAATTAGACAATTAGCCTTTACATTTAGAAGTGAAGAGAGAAGTAATCCATTAAATTGATTCATTATTTAAAATAAATGAAAGTGCTCTTTCACACGATCCTCAATAAAAATCAACATTGTTATAATACAGTATAAAATTTATATAAATTCAGATTAGCAAGACATCTCAGAAGCGCAACACCCACAGGCCACAATCTAATTGACAAAAATATGTAAATGAGTTGAACTAACATTGTCATCCAAAATGGTAAATTTCAAATCCTTTTCAAGGTCAATGGATACATGAAGTCATGGACTAGCCTGGTCTGGCATGCATACAGCTGATAGAATAGGGCAGTGTGTGCGTGTGAAGAATCACGTCAGAGGGTACTTTTCGATAGAAATCATATCAGATATATTTATAATTGATTGATTATCTAAACACAAAAAAGCATGGTATTGAAAACCGGATCGGACCGGCCGGGTCAACCCGGAAACCGGTGAACCGGTCCCCTGTCCGGTCTGGGTTTGCACTTAACCCGGTGAGGGAATGAACCGGTGTAACCCGATCAACCCGGGTTCAACCCGGTATAACCCGGATAACCCGGTGGGTTGACTGGGTTAACCGGGTTAATATTTTTCAGACTTTTACCCCAAAACGACGTCGTTTTTGATTTTTTTTTTCATTTTTAATTTTTTACAGCTCTGAGTTCGGAAAAAAATAACAAAAAAAAGTAAAATTAAAGTCAAAAAATAAAAATTAGAGATAGAGCATGCTAAGTCCAAAAATATAGTATTTTATTATTGTTAAACTTTTGAGTGGTTGGATTTGGTTGAATGTTTTTATAATTAATGTCTTTTTATTTAAATTGTATTATTTTAATCATGACCGGTTTGCCACCGGTTCAACCCCCGGTTCAACCCTGATTGAACCACTAACCCGTGACTCAGTGCCATGACCGGTTTAATGACCGGTCCGGTTTTACGTACCTTGCAAAAAAGTTTCACATCAACCAAAGACTGCGGAGTTCACATAGCGTGTCCTATGTAGAACTATAGAGAAGCAGAAAGTCCTCCATTCCCAGGACTTAAAATTGATTTTGCTAGCACCTGGTGAAGCTTCTACTGTATTACAATTTCAACAATTGAATGAAATTTCAGGATCAAGGTGATCTGCAGTCAGAAGCTGTTCTTTTCCTTTTCTTTCCTTTTTCTTCTCCAACGACTGAGTCATTTACATTCCAATTTGGATTTAAAAAAGATGAAAAGGAATGGTTAAACAGCTCAATTTCAGTTCAAGATCCCTCCTAAGCAGGGCCTGAACCCATAGCACCAGCCCGAACTCTTAACATTTCAGTCCTCTTACTTCTCTCCATCACTTCCACCAGCCACTCTACACTCCCCTTTATCCCCTTTCTGCAATATTTTAAAACAAAACCCATTTACAAAACCTCAGTGCTTCCTTATCATCACAGACACACACACAAATATTAGCTTGGTGTGTGTAAGTGAATGGATAATTACTAACCAGATGCATTGGAAAATAAACTTCCTACTTACCCATCATAGCCTGACACAGCTTCAAACATGTAAACTCTTTCACCCAGCTTCTTTAGATCCAGGTAACGACCAAGTTCTTCAGCCGAAACTGCTTCCGGAAGATCCTATAAATACAATAATGTGAATAAGGCAGCTCCCACAGAGAGATTGAAATCAAAAGAAGATCAAAAGAGAGCTTGAGATGCTTTTTTGAAGGAAAGATCAAAAAAGGAAACAAAACAGTCGCCAAATTCTGCCCTTTTGCGGGTGAAAAAAAAACTACCTTGTGCCCCTACAGTGCCCATTGGCTGCATAAGCACTGGCGTCTCAAAATTTATGGGAATTCATGTATGGCAACCAAAAACACTGGACTGTATTATAATTTCTCATACATCCACACAGGACTGCATGATATTTTATAGTCATTATCCAATAGACAGAGGATACTGAACCAAGAAATTTTGCTCATGACGTGTCAAAAGCTTATAAGGTTATATAGGACCACAAGAAGGGATAATTACTCTCACCTGCTTGTTTGCTAATATTAAAAGAGGTGCTCCTTGTAAATCCTCATGCCGAAGTACCTTTTCTGATATACAAGTCAAAGTCATTACATCATCAATCTGTGTCCCCCCCCCCCCAAACACATTCAGTATTATTGCAATTGCCAGAAAACACCTTAGACTTAGAGCACTGTGAATTTATAAACTATAACATAAAGATCAATCTTACTAACCAAGTGCAGACTTGGCATCTTCAAAGCGCGAGGGACATGCAGCATCTATAACAAATATCACAGCATGGGCTTCTTCATAATATTTCTCCCATATTGATCGAAGTCCAGGCTGATACACCCCTTGCATCAGTATCTTATAAACCAAAATAGAGAAGGAATGGAACACAATAACAGACAGAAGAGAGCGTGAAAAGTACATGCGCTTTCCACCAAATGATAAATACTACTCATGGCCCCATACCAGCAAGCTAACTGAACAAAACTATTGCATTTTTGAGATTATAACCATATAAATTATAATCATAATGAGGAAAAATACAAACCAAGAAAAGGAAAGAGGCATCTGTTTGGAAAAAAAAAGAAGAAGAAGCATGCTTTGCACAAACAAAAGTCCTTTAGCATTAACAAGGTTAGAAAATTTGAGATTCAGACAGGGAAGGGTGAAATTAGGAAGGTGGAAAATTGCAGGATTCAACAAACAAGTAACAAATTCTAACATATAGCCAGAAAAGAAGAGGTAGAAAAGGTTATGTAGCTAAGATAAACAACGAAGCCAACATAAATTTCAGAGTAACTTCGGATGGGGATCTGATGAAATTGAGAATCTCCTAAAGTGGTGAAGTTTAAGGCTTCAAAACTTCTATTG